GTTAGAGTGCAGCATTGCAAGCTACTTCTGCTGCAGCCAGCTGCCAGCAATTTGGCAGATCAAATCTCACCAGGCTCAAGGTTGACTCAGCCTTCCATCCTTCCAAGGTGGGTAAAATGAGGACCCAAATCATTGGGGGCAAGAGGCTGACTCTGCAAATCGCTTAGAGAAGGATGTAAAACACTATAAAGCAGTATATAAGTCTAAGTGCTATTGGTATATGTGACCAGCCCATTTCCATTTCAATTCTTTTATTCTTTTGATGATATCGTATATTTTTGTTTGTTCCCTAATCCATGTGCAGGTTTTTCTATCTTGTCTTGTGATGCTGAGCATGTCTCTTTCCATACCTCTTTGCTGTCAGCATTCCAATGAAATTCCCCATTTCACTCAGCACTCAGAAGCAAAGTTCATCCAAGTAAGAATTTATTGAAGAAGCCATATTGGCACATCTGGGAAACCAAATCTGAGAGTTCCGGGTTTTCCCTTTCCAAAAGAAAAATCAAAGATACATCCCCTGCACCCACCAGTCCATCACATGGTCCAATCAACCATCATCCCAACTGGAGACATTTCTCCAAACACTCCTCTCTAAGTGTAGGGTAACTTGACCTTGACTTTAAGAGAAGAATGTTGTTGAGGCTAATCCTCCACCACTCTGTGAAATCCTCCCTCCCAAATTCCCAGGCACTAAGATGTGACAGCATCAAAGCTTCCATGGCTTCCAAGGCTGACATTTGATATTGATTGGGCACACAAGGAATTTGCCACCAGTGCAGATGCTATCGGTGTGCATACAAGCAACGAGTGATAAATTATGATCATAGTCATCATAAAATATATTAATCATAAATCATAAGATACAACACTAAGTGATAGTCCTAGGAGACTAAATAAGCATTCAACATAAATCATCCTAGGATGCTAAATAAAACAATTAATATAAATCATAAGATACAAGCAACAAAGTTATAGTCATAAGAAGATAAGGAAATAGGTAATAGAAAAGATGAGAAAGATATTGCTCTATTAGGTGGTTTGCCAATGCTGTGGGAATTAGTTGTTTAGCAGAGTGATGACATGGGGGAAGGAACTATCCTTGTGTCTAGTTGTTTTGGCGTGCAGTGCTCTATAGTGTTGTCTTGGGGAAAGAAGTTGAAGCAGTTTTATGTCAAGAATGTGAGGGATCTGTAGATATTTTCACAGCCCCTTTTTTTGGCCTGTGCAATATACAGGTCCTCAATGGAAGATAGGATTGTAGCAATTGTTTTTTCTGCAATTCGAACTAGCCATTGTTATATGATGGCTTGTGTGCACTGCATGTAAAGAAAAATGATGGAGCTTCAGTTATTGTGGGGTCCTTGGGTGCTGTCTGAGCTTGCTTTTTACAGATAATCAGAGTTGGAAGGGACCTTGTAGGTCATCTAGTCCAACCCCCACCTAAGCAGGAGACCCTACACCATTTCTGACAGATGGCAGTCCAATATCTTCTTGAAAGTCTCAAGTGATGTGTTGTTGATGTTTTTTTGCAGATGTTTCATTACTCAACTAGGTAATAATGCACTGATGATGATACTTAGTTAGGTAATGAAATATCTGCAAGAAAACAACCAGGCTCAGAGAGTACTAAAGACTCCACTGTTTTTAGCGGTAGCTACTTCATCAGTACTAGAAGGAGCAAGCTAACCGCATATAGAGTAAACCCCACTCCCTTCTAGCACTGATGAGGTTACCTAGTTGGATAATGAAATGTTTGCAAGCAAACAACCAAGCACAGAGAACATCAAGAGCTCCACCATTCAATGCTGCACTACAAATATTCTTTTATTTGGCTCAACATTGCAATTGTAGCCATCATATTGATTTTTTTTTAACTCACATTCATCCATCCCAATAAATGATCCTGATGCCAGAACGAATTACTACTTAAGCAGGAGCAAAGCCTGCCTCAAATAACCATGGAGTCTTTTCACTGGAGTTTTGCAAATAGATTTGGATAGTGACCTGCTGGAGATGGTGAAGTAGATTCCTACCTTGAGAAGGAATTTGACTAAATGTCTTACAAAGTCATTTCCTGAAAGTTAGAACAATTAATTGCAATTTATAAGAATAAATTTATGCAATTAATGTATGCAATTTATAAGAACTAATCCTGACAAATATCCTGACAGTGAGAACAATTCATCGGTAGAACGACTTGCTCCAGAAGTTGTGGATAGCAATAGACTTATATACTGCTTCACAGTGCTTTACAGCCCTCTTGAAGAGGTTTAAAGAGTCAGCATATTTGCCCCCAACAATTTAGGTCCTCATTTTACCCACCTTGGAAGGATGGAAGGCTGAGTCAACCTTGAGCCTGGTGATATTTGAACTGTCAAATTACAGGCAGCAGGCAGGCAGCAGAAGTAGGCTGCAGTACTGCACTCTAACCACTGTGCCACCGTGGCTCCAATGCTGGGCGGTTTTTAAGAAGAGATCGGACAACCATTTGTCTGAAATGGTATAAGGTCTCCTGCTTGAGCAGGTGGCTGGACTAGAAGACTTCCAAGGACCCTCGCAACTCTGTTATTCTGGTATTCTTTCCTATCTATAAATTCTATTGTCTTTGAGTTTCAATCCAAAATAGCCACTCTGTGCTATAGTGAAATGCAGTTGAAAAGTGGGATGTACAGTCTCGTTTGGCATCAGACTAGGAACGGGGAGATTGTGAATTCTACTCCCACCTTGAGAATGTAAACTGGCTGGATTTCTGTGGGCCAGTCAATCCAACCCACTTCCCAGAGTTGCTGTTGCAGAGAGAATAAGAGAAGAAAGGGATATTGGGTATGTCTTATTTATTAAAATAAATCAATCGTAATAGAGTTGGAAGGGACCTTCGAGGTCTTCTAGTCCAACCTCCTATTCAAGAAGAAGACCCTTTCAGACAAGTGGCTGTCCAGTTTCTTCTTAAAAACCTCCAAGTGATGAAGCAACTTCTGGTGGCAAGCTGTTCCACTGGTTAATTGTCCTCACTGTTAGGAAATTTCTCCTGAATTCCAGGTTGCTTCTCTCCTTGATTAGTTTCCATCCATTGCTTCTTGTCTTGCCTTCTGGTGTGTTGTAGAATAAGTTGACCCCCTCCTCTTTGGGGCAGTCCCTCAAATACTGGAATACTGCTATTATGACACCCCCTAGTCCTTTTTTTCTCTAGACTTTCCAAATCCAAATCCCACCAACCATTCTTCATATGTTTAGTCTCTGGGCCTTCTTTAATCATCTTAGTTGCTCTTTGCTACACTTTGTCAACCCTGAAGCTGACCTGAGTGAAGCTATTTTAAGGCTTCAGTGTTGCCACACTGGAGCTGGGGGGAAAGGGAGAAGAGAAGAGAAATAGCTGGGATTTTGTAGCCAAAACGAAATACTTTCTCCTGGGAACCAAGGACATTCCCACAGGTGGTCGGAGAGAGGAGGAGTGAAGTTACCAGGCAACCAGGCGGTACTTGATTGGACCATGTGACTGATTGCTTGGGAAAGAGGAAAAATGTTTACTTTTAATTAGGTGAAAATCGCGGGAATATTCAGAGTCTTTTTTCACCAGCCAGTGCCAATAGGATGTACCAAATAAAACTGTTCTTTGAGGAATTATCCTGCCTTGGAGTGTTATGGGTGTACTACTTGGAACCCTGACACACTTTTTCCAAAGTTTCAATCAGTAGTGGTATTCAATTTTTTTTTACTACTGGTTCTGTGGGCATGGCTTGGTGGGTAAGGCGTGGCTTGTTGGGTGTGGCAGGGGAAGGATTTAACTGCAAAATCCCCATTTTCACCTCACTCCAGGGGAAGGTTACTGCAAAATCCCATTCCTTCCTCACCCCACTATCCTGGTTTCCAGCTCCTTTCTCCTGTGCAGGACAACCAAAGAAAACCCAGCTGGTCAGCTGGGACTTGGGAGGCAGAGAATAGATGGGGGAGGGGCCAACCAGAGGTGGTATTTACCAGTTCTCCAAACTACTCAAACTCCTGCTACCGGTTCTCCAGAACCTGTCAGAACTGGTTGAATACCACCTCTGGTTTCAATATATAAAATAAGCGAAGGAGGAAAATAACAAAATAATGTAATGAACAAAAGAACTCAAATAACATAATAACTCAAAATAACAACGGTGGAACAAAAAAATATCCAAAATAAGGTAAATAAATATAATGGAGGGAATTATTAGCTTGCAATTTGTTTAACCAAAGAAGCCTCCCTTGCATTCTTCACTGAAATCATCATTTACAATCAAGTGCTCTTCCTACCATCCACCCTAGGCAATCCTTTCAAATTCAGCTCCTTAATCAGCAAATGTGCAAGTGTTGGCCACAATTCATAGTACTGATTATTCTCTTAATTAAGTGGCATTATTAGCAGCAGCACGGTCCCACGTTCCTTGCTTAATTAACTGGTCAGTAAATGAGGTTTTAAAGATCATTAATCAGATTTGTTACTCTATTGGTTCTTCTTTTTCTTTTCCTGCAGTGAGCTGCTGCGACTTGTGCCTGACTGATTGGTTGCTGTAAGCTTTAAAAGGGGAGTTTCTCTTTTTTTCTCCCGCCTTTTTTCTTCTCTGTGTTCTGTATCCTGTTGTTGATTTACCTCATGATATTCCTATGTTCCTATCGTATGTTCTTCCTTTTCTGAATGATAAACTTATTTGTATTAATATAAAAGACTACAAGTTTTGTGTCAGTGTCTCCACATTCATCGGGAGAAAAATGAACATTTAACAAAATGAAAATCAATGTAGAGAAAGGTAAAGTCCTACACTTAGGCAAGAAAAACCAAAAGTACACATACAGACTGGGTGAAACCAGGCTCAATAGCAATAACTGTGAGTCTTGGAGTCTTAGTGGACAACCAGCTAAATATGAGCCAGCAGTGTGCAGCAGCAGCCAAAAAAGCTAATATAACCCTAAGTTGCATTAACAGAGGGATACAATCAAGATCAAGTGTGGCACTAATACCACTCTATAAAGCCTTCGTAAGACCACACCTAGAGTACTACATCCAGTATTGGTCACTACACTATAAGTCTCTAGAAAGAGTGCAGAGAAGAGCAACCAGGATGATTAGGGGACTGGAGGCTAAAACATATGACGAACGGTTGCAGGAACTGGGCCTGGCTAGTCTAGTGAAGAGAAGGACCAGGGGAGACATGATAGCAGTCTTCCAATATTTGAGGGGCTGCCACAGAGAGGAAGGGGTCAAGCTATTTTCCAAAGCATCTGTAGGCCAGACAAGGAACAATAGATGGAAACTGAAGGAGAGATTTAACCTGGAAATAAGGAGAAACTTCCTAACAGTGAGAACAATCAACCAATGGAACAGAAGTTGCCCTCGGAAGTTGTGGGAGCATCATCACTTAAGACTTTCAAGAAGAAATTGGACTGCCATTTGTCAGAAATGGTGTAGGGTCTCCCACTTGGGCAGGGGATTGGACTAGATGAACTACAAGGTCCCTTCCAACTCTGATTATCTGTTATCTGGACAGCTGTTGTGCAATTCCTTGACATCCCATTCATAGTTCACACAAAGATAATAGTATGGAAGGGGAAGCACATTCGAACCTTCCAGATTCTGTTACGAATGGTGTTACAACAAAAGTAGTCCAGACCTATATGAGATTGATCATTCCATCTGAGCCACAGTTTCAACTGGAAAACTGTGACCATCCTAGATCAAGCCAACTCCAAAAATGCGATAGAATTCCTGGAAGCCTGACAAATTGGCCATCGATAGACACATAGATATAAACAACATCTACATACTGTACAAAAGAGAAAATAAGGCAAAAGGGGAACAAAATGACCAAAACACTTCACTGGCAATCAAGAAGCAGATGAGCATAGTTGAATACCAAGATCAACACCAGACCAACAATCAAAAAGTAAATAATACCCCAATCAAGGAACTACCAAATATGCTTGTGAAGAAGGCATAGTAGAGGCTGTACTTCCTGAAAATGCTCAGGAAGATAAATATATCTCAGCCTCTACTTCTGTCCTCCAACCACACCCCCATTGAGAGTGTCCTGACATACGGCATTCTTGTATGGTAAGGGAGCATCTCTGTAGCAGACAAAAAAGCTCTACAGAGAATCATTAAAACTGCCCAGAATATCATCGGGCTCCAGCTACCATCTTTGCATCTCGCTGTTTGAGGAAGTCGCACAACATTCTCAGAGACTCTTCCCATCCTGCTTACAATCTTTGTGAACTGTTGCCTTCTGGCAGAAGATACAGAATAATTGAAACTCGGACCACACGTTTTTCTGAACAGTTTTTATCCCGGAGCTATCGTTGCACTTAACAATGAACTTAAGGACCACCATCAGTGAGCTGTTGGACAGTAGTACTTGGTCTGTTGTGTGAATGCTTGTGTGTTTTTAGGGGGTGGGGAATTTTGGTTGGTTGGGGGTGTGTTTGGGGATTGTCATGTGTGTGTGCATGTTGGGTCTGGTCTCTGGGTATTATGTGAATTTTGCTGTATGTGCATATTGTGTATATACGTTCAATGACAATAAAGTATTACTATAACTATTACTATTATTATTTTTATCATCTAGCTATCTAGATCTATCTCATCTGCCTGCCTCTATCTATCTATCTATCTATCTATCTATCTATCTATCTATCTATCT